AATTGAACCATCTTACCTACAACCTTCAGTCAACGGTTACCACCCTTAATTGAAAACCTGATGGCACCCCTCCGTGGAGACTTTGGTAATGAATCTATATTTGTCGACCATCTCATTCGGTGTACTATCCATCAGTCCGTGGGGACTATACTTTGAACCATTGGGCAGAATTCCTCATTCTCGAATCTTTCAGACTCTCTGACATTTTGATCTGTGTGGGCCCTATTCGTAATCTCAGTTTCACCTCCTGGTACTAAAAGATATCTTAGTTAATCTTGGATTACCCTACTGCTCTTCGTATCATTTTTGAAGTAGACAAACTGTCCAGGAGGACCACTTTGACGTCAAACTTTTTAGTTGAGATTGTTAGTCCTCCAATCAGCACTTTATCCAGCGAATCTTCGCCACTGGTGATTTAAAATCCCTGAACTACCGTTGTAACAAATTTTGTGAATTTTGGGTTGAGGGAAAATCTAAATTTCCGTTTGTCAGTTTTCATTAGATTATCGTTCAACCTCCAAACTTTTTAGCTATATTTTCACTCGAAATAAGCTAAGCCTTAGGTGATGGTGATTGATAGAATATATCAATGTTTATGACTGCACCATCGTGTACCACCTCGATTGTACAAGCATAGTTGCTAAGCACCTCAATAGAAAGACACATTGATACCCGAATATTCTTCAATCAGTCATATTTCTACCTTATGCGGAACTCTTGAATACTTTTGTGACATGACCTTCGACCATCAAGAAACTGAGTTAGCTAATTTTCAAGTCCGACCATTTCAAGTTGTTGCTACCTAATCAAGTTAAGTATTTACATGTATTCAAGCATTAGAGTTGTATATTCAATCCATATATCTTGTACTCTAGATTTAATGGAATTGTTTTGACCCTTAAACTCTTGAGTGTTCTTTTAGCCTTCTCGACATGGTTTCTTGCTAAGTTCGTGAGGAATTCACGATGGATCGACTTGGCTGAAATGTGCACCCAGTTTCATATTGATTCTAACAGGAACATTAGGAGTACAACCTCTTCGCACGTTTACTATACTTACCAGGAAGAATTCCAAGTAGTCTTGAGAATTGAGCCATTTTTTAGTGTAGAATTGGTGAAGGTAGAAATGTAGGCTCCGAGCCTAAAGATTGTATGGCCAGTTTCTATGAATGAGTTAAAGTGGCAACCGTTATTCGAAGGAAGTGGTCAGAGTGGTGGTTCCTCTATTATAGATTTTGAATCTTATACTTCTCGATCAGGAGAGCGATCATCGTGGGTAGTCGCGAAGGAAATGTTGTACGACAAGTGTTCATCCCTACGCATCTTCAAATTATTTGTTGGGTTCACTAAGCAAGTGGGCAAGTCCGCCCGTCTATGATAGTAGTTAGTAATTAGTTATGGTTTGGACTTGACCCAAGACACACACACTGTCACATCCCGGCCTGGGCGGGACTACTTCCCGGGCCCGACTCCATTATCATAGCACGATATTGTCTGCTTTGGGCTTACCATTCCCTCACGGTTTTGTTTTTGGGAACTCACGAGCAACTTCCCAGTGGGTCACCCATCATGGGATTGCTCAAGCCTCCTTCTCGCTTAACTTCGGAGTTCCTACGGAACCCGAAGCCAGTGAGCTCCCAAAAGGCCTCTTGCTAGGTAGAGATGGGAATATACATATAAGGATCACTCCCCTGGGCGATGTGGGATGTCACAATCCACCCTCCTTGGGGGCCCAAAGTCCTCGTCGGCACACCACGACCAGGGTTAGGCTCTGATACCAAATTGTCACATCCCGGCCCGGGCGGGACTACTTCCCGGGCCCGACTCCACTACTGTAGCACGATATTGTCGGCTTTGGGCTTACCATTCCCTCACGGTTTTGTTTTTGGGAACTCACGAGCAACTTCCCAGTGGGTCACCCATCATGGGATTGCTCAAGCCTCCTTCTCGCTTAACTTCGGAGTTCTTATGGAACCCGAAGCCAGTGAGCTCCCAAAAGGCCTCGTGCTAGGTAGAGATGGGAATATACATATAAGGATCACTCCCCTGGGCGATGTGGGATGTCACACACACACCCATTCTCAGAATACATGACATGACGAATGCTTGAGCAAGGCCCAATCCCATTTTCGATTTTGATTTTCAGTGCAAATGTTTTAAATTACATTACTATATTTATATATGTGTTTTGTCACTAAAAATTCTGGGTGAGTTATTTCCACTTTCGGTTTTAAATTTAGTACAAGTATTCTAATTTTATGTTATCTATCTAATTCGACATTATTTTATTTTATGTCTATATATATTTTTGAACTTATGCCATTACATAATTATAAGTATTTTCAACTTTGTATGTTATACAAGTATTATACTATACTAGACTATTAAGGAAGGAAGAAGGTATGAGCTTGGAGGCATGAAAGAGGAACCATTGCAATCCGTTCGCGACGGAATGACATTCTCTTTTATGGAGCCGCTCTAACTTGATTTCTTCCATGTGTGTATATATATATATATACGTATTTTCTCTCTATGTTTGAGTATTTACGTATAGCAAATTATTTCAAATTTCGGGGACAAATTTTTTCTTAAGGGGGGTAGATTATGACAACCAGTCCCTAAATATTACAGGTTTTATAATTTTAAAGTGTGAATTTACAAAAATACCCTTCGAGATTAAAACGTTGATTTTTGTTGAATGCCTTGTCGTGTCAGGTAAGATTTGTTTTCGTGGTGTATCCTTATAGTACTCGTCATTACGAACGCGTGGACGCAAGCAAAATGGAATTTGGAGCTAAAATAAAGATTTTACGGAATTTGAAACTTAAGGGCATTTTGGTAATTTTCTAAATCAAGATATTTTCACTTTGGACCACCCTGATCTGACACCATGGCAGTTTTCCCCACTTTTTGGGGTGTTCTTCTTCCCCATGTCTTTCCTCCTAATCTTCTAGAACTCTCTTCGTCTTATTTCTCTCCCATGAGCTTCTCTCTCTCCTTTCACTCTCTCGAAACCTCTTTCTCATCACCTTCTCTTCATGGCTCTCCTCCCTTAGTTCTCATATTTTCTCTCTCAGCTACCTTGTTCTCTCATTCTCTATAAACACACACACACAAGCACCACAATGACAACTAGACCAATCACCTTTGTGGCTCTTACTCGGCGATCTCAAAACCCTCGAGATCCCTCCATCATGAACCCAGAGCTGACAGAGGTCCCTCATTTCTTCTGTTTCCCTACACAGTGGCACCACCATTGTTGCCAAAATTATTCCAACGAATTCTCCACGATCCCGACCTAGGTAAGCCTTGGGGACACCTTCATTCTATTCATTTTGACGTTGTTATGCGATTGATGAGCCTACATGCACGAATGGGTGAGTTTGATGCAGAAATGGCACGAGGGAATTTCCCCATTTTTTCGGCAAGGAATCCATTGGCTTTGAGGCCTTTTCCGACCAATGCCGGCCACGGTCGAGGAAACTAATGGTACATTTCAAATCCTTGTTCCTTGGGCTTCATTTTGGTGTATAGAATGATTAGTTTTAGTTAAGACTTGCGGATGATCGGAGCTTGAGAAGCTTTGGTTTTCTTCTTCGTGGAGTTTGGCTGACCCACGATCTGAAATCGGGTCGACCCGACTCGTAGACCAATTGAATCCAACCAAACCCAATCCAAAACCAGGCCCAAACCTTTGGCCTAGGTAACCCAAGCCCAAACCAGTATCAAGCCCAACCCATTCACCCTAAATCAAATCCAAACCCAATAACCCGATTTGAAATTTGGCCTATCCCAGGAACCCAAGCCTAGATCTGACTCGACCTGGACCTAGTTCCAGTTTCCTGGGTCGGCACGTGACTTGCGAGTAGGTGCGCATCATGGTCGGCGCGTGGAGCACACGTGCCTCTGACGGAGGTACTATGCTTCGCCATTGTCCACGGCGGTGACCCTTAGTGGCGCCGAAGACTTTTCCGGCGAACTTTCTGACAACTCATCTCGGCATGTGGTTTTGTTTCTTCTCTAGCATAACCCGAAGTCATACAGCTTCACCTTCGGGTGATGGACCCACTACATATACATATATAAGTTATATCATCTTCTCTGGCGTTACCCAGAGTGGTACAGCTTCACCTTCAGGTGATGGACCATGGTTTCTTCATTGGCGTAACCCAGTGTCTTACAGCTTCACCTTTGGTGATGGTTATGCCTTCAGGCCACTATGATACCCCTAGTTGAGTACATGATGAATGAGATTTACAGATTTACCTTCGGATGGCTATACTACCTTTACTAAGCACCGGTTTACACGCACACGTTTTATGAACGTTTTGCATTGCATGCTAGAGTTTCAGAAAAACTATTATGTAGTATTATATGTGTTTTCAAAACAGGGGGTTAGTATGTTCATAAAGAAAATGGTTTTCTTATTATTAGTACTATTATTATAAACTTTGGTCCACTCACTCTTTGGTTTTGCTCCCCCTTTAGGATTTAGATTCGAGGCACACAATCCTGGCGTCAGGGCACTTCCGCTTAGGTATCTTCGAGTCTCCTCTGTGTAGGACCCATTCCTTGGTTCGTACCTTTTCATAATAAATCTTTCATATTATTCTTGATTAGTTGTATGCTCTGAACACGGTTCTGCATTAGTATATTTCTTTCTGATCACACATTTTAATTTGCATGCATGTTAAAATGGCTTTGCCACCCTCGGGTGTTGGCCAGCATGTGCCTATCCTGATATTTGGGGATATCGGGATTGGGACGTGTCAACGAAATTCAAATTTCTATATCATCAAATAATCAGTGAGTTCCAAACACACAGTTGATTTCTCTTTCATACAAGCTTTCCCTCTTTTCCTGAAACTACTTACAGTAAAAACTTTTACAACGTACTAGAGAACAACTCCGATTATGAGCTGATCACGATGCCGACTAGTGACAATGACAATAAGATAATGTACATGTGAATTTGTTTCCCTGTGAATGAGGAATGTTTTGTCAACTTGAGAACTCCATCTTTCCAGGAAATGATGATGTGCTTGAACGGCTCCTTGAGCTTTCACTTCCAGATGGTTGACTTATCACATCCTTAAACACAAATGAAGGAATGAATAAACAAATAAACTTGAAGAAAACATAGAAATAGAAAAGCACAAACACAAGCGTTATGGCATGTATGCAGTTCAGGTTTTATGTTATGCAACTCACTTGTATCAAAGGATTCGAGCGTTGTCTCGGTGAGAATACTCCAGTAGCACAAGCCATGACACAATTCAAGCTCTCATCGGCAAGTGCTCTCAATCTGTTAAGTTCAGGCAGCACAACCTTGCCAAGATCTGGCCTGTCCTTTCGCCTCATTTCAGCACACTGTAAACAGAGCTTGGCAAACTTCAAGGCTTCCTCAACTGGCCAATCAGGAACAGCAGGGTCAAGCATCTCAGCAAAAGTCCCCGTCTCAATAGCCCGTTCAATGTGATGAGTCAACCCCATTGGTGGCTTGGCTGTTATAATTTGTAGAAACATGACACCAAGTGAGTAGATATCAGATTTTGTCCCAAGCAAGCCAGTTTGCTGATACTCTGGATCGATGTAGCAAAATGTTCCAGCTGTTGATGTCATGTGATACTGAGTGACGGCGTTGGCTACAGATGGAGGGACAAGCCTAGCTAAACCTACATCACTGATCTTGCTCACATAGTTATGGTCTAGCAAGATGTTGCCGGGTTTTAGGTCACGATGTACAAGGGGTTCTGGCTTGGTCTGATGAAGGAACAAAAGCCCTGTCCCAATTTCTGCAGCAATTCGGAACCTTATTTGCCAAGGAATAACTGGGGTGTTACCTGTGCGGAAGAGACGATCTTCCAAGCTCCCATTACCCATGTACTCATATACCAAGCAACCGTAATCTGGGCAAGCTCCAAGGAGTAAAACCATGTTTGGATGTCGTATACAGCTTAATACCTCAACCTGAACAACTTAGGTCAGTCAGATAAATATCCACACTAATATATGATCAACAAATTGAATCCCCATTTAGATTAAATTAATGAGTATCAATAATCCTAGAATTCATAGTTAAATAATGAGACCTAAGAGGATCACTGCATCAGAAACTACTCGCATGAGTGAAGTTCATATTATATTCCATCTCATTTTACTTTCGTAATATTTTTCTAACATTATCTATATTTTCTTTTAGTTCTGCCACAGGAAAACCACTCGATCAGTCTTATTTTCGAACAATATGGTCCCATTCTGGAAACAAATATGAAGTTCACTCTTTAATTAATTCATGATCAGATTCAACATAGTAATTACTTAATGGTTAATTTATTGTTTATGATATGAAGAGAGGGTTGTATACTAGAATATATATATAGTAGTTAAAAATTGATCATGTTCCATGTCACAGACCTCCTGCTTGAACTGCGACTGTCCTTGAGCTGCATCTGGACGTAGAATTTTTATTGCCACTGTTGTATGGTCTAGTTCACCTCTGTATACTGGCCCATAGCCTCCTTCACCAATCTTTCGATCTTGTGAGAAATCATTCGTTGCCTTTTCAATCTCCTGAATTGTGTATTTCCTGTACCTAAGATCATATGACCTTGCTTGAAGTGCCTTCTTCTCTTCGGATTCTTTAAAAGCTTTCATTTCTGCAACCCTTCTTTTTTGTGCTTCCAATTCAGCAATCCTTTGAGCTGCTTCAGCTGCCTCAATGGCTGCCTTACATTTTGCTTTCTCCTTCTCCACAAGTGCCAATGCAACTTCCTCAGCATGTCGTGCCACTTCTAGCCTTTGTTCATCTTCCATTTTCCACTGGTTAATTTCTTTTTCCTGTGATGATTTTTTGGTTAGAACATATGTTAAACAAATTCTATGCTCGATTAAGGTATCGTAAAGTATAGACCTTGTGTTTTGCTATCAGAGCTTCCTTGCACGCTGTACTGTACATTTCCATTGTTTGTTTCAGCTCTAGCTTGAGCCTCCTCATCTCAGCTTCCACATCGTCCTGTTATTGTCGATGCAAATGAGAATGGTATTAGATTTTGACGAAAGGTTTATATAGTAGGAGGCCTTGCAGATTCCAATGTTTACAATATATGCTGGGAATTATCTGAAGTACCATATTTTGTGATGATGACGATGATTTTCCACTGTCAACTGAACATGATGACATTTCACATTGCAGAGAGCCCATATCTAAAAACTTGTGTCTTGAGTAAGATGATGTAGGGCTTCTGTTGTCCCCGTCCGAGCCGATTGAAAGTCGAGAGTTTATTCCTGATTCTACACCAAAGTCGCAGCGAGGTGACATACGATCAATGCTTGGCCTTCCAATACTTACAAATGATATATCAGTTTCTGGTGAAAGCTCATATGATTTGTCCATTGAGGGTCTTCCTCTTGCGAACGGTGACCTGTAAATCATTTTCGTTGGGTTAGCCCCTCTCATTGATCATGTATTCCCTTTTTCATAGTTGTTCACACAAAGATATAGGCTTTTAGAACTCCGACCGAAAAAGGCATAGCATATGTATATCTACAGCGTACCCTAAAAGAAGTCATCCACGTACGCATTGTATTCAGAGAATAAAAGCATCCAAATCCAAGACCAATTAGTTGCCAATGATGGATAAACTCTCAACATATATACATATATGCATTTCTAGAACATAGATATGCCTATTCACTCAAATGCGATAGGACTAGGAGATTAGGGCTTACTTGATTTGAATGTCACAATCTGGCTGGTTACGAGTAGAACAGTACTGCACCCTATCCGATGCTGCATTAATAAAAAAACTTCAGTCAATTAGCAACTAATGAAAAACACGATATATGATTATCGTGAGGTGGAAATAAACCTGAAGATCTGGCTTCAGAAACAGAGCTTGGTTGGTGTTGAACTTGACCAGGTTGGGCAAAATTTTGGGGTGTGGAAGTAGCATATCGCATGTACGACACCTTTCCTCTGCCAATCACATAAACAGAGCAAAAATCCGGTGCCCTTTTTGACACTGTGCTTGGAACGTCTGTGAGCTTAAATCTTTTGTGGAACAGAACGTATAAAAAAAAAAAAAAAGAAAAAAAAAAAAGCAGTTTATGCAATTAGGGTTCCAATATTAGAACTGATATTGCCCAAAAAGAATATTAGAATTGATTAAGGGGTATAGGTTATATACAAAAGAAAAATCTCAAACAGATGTATAAGAAAATGATGAGGAAATAGTTAATGATCACCTGAAAATTCCGCTTTTGGACGGTGTGCCAAGTACCAAAATCTCGATAGTGTTAACCATAACATAATCGATGATTGCGTTTGGAATGTCATTGTCCTTGATTACAACTTCATTGCATTTTATCTGTTTCAAACATTACAAGGAAGTTGTTACTGACATTTCGAAAAAGTTATTCTTGTATCTCGTCTCTCAGTCTTGGATGAGATACTAATTCCAAATTCTTTCTCGCCTACTAACCTATTCTCATTCCAGGTAAGTAAACATATCGGGTGCATGATTATGACGTAGGAGATAGAAATAGAAACTAATGAAGAAGCATAAATATAGTAGGAAAGGACTCACATTCTTTTTGGAGCAGAAGGAACGGAAAGAAAGAAAGAGCCCTTGGGTTTGTTGGGGGTCGGAGCCTTCAGGGGAGGATGTTTGATCAACATGGAGCAATGTGAGAGGCCGGCCTCTGGCGAGAAGATGATCAACCGCCCATTTGATTGCATGTTCACTTCCTTTGTCCTTGTCTATGGCCACGGCCACCGACTCCTCTCTCCTTTCTCCTTGGCCTCTAACAATCCTCGACATTACCTTTAGTTATTCTTTTCTCTCTCTTAATTTATTTCTATAAAAAATTAATTCTTTCAAAGCTCTCCAATTAACAATTCAGCAGCTGCTGAACTAGGTTTAAGAAACTCAGAAATTAAGCAATTAAGCTTCTTATTAAATTTAGAGATCAGTTTCTAGTATACTTAATTCGTGCTGGCATCGGTTGGCATTGCCTTGGAAGAAAAACATAAATGCTCAAACCAATTAACTACATCTTCTAACATCCTTAAGACGAATTTGTATCTTCTATTTAAAGTTGATTTTCTTGAATTTGTAGAACGAAGTCTCGTTGGTTAAATTTATTTTTACCGACTATCATGGCGACTTATGAATTATAAACATATATCAACTGTAAGGAGTGGGAGACGAAGAGAGAGAAGATGGTTGCTTAGCAGCGGAAGCTGGGGATCGAGAAGCGGAGGGAGAGCTTAGGCTTGAAATGGAGCTGGGATACCGGTATTTTTTCCTCCCTGGATCCGAGTCTTTCTCTTCTCCTGGACCGAGCACCGAGACCGAGGAAAGAGAGGCCGGATACGAGTCTGATGAGATCAGAGCCAGTGAAGAGTATAATGTATTCAACTAACATGATGATCAGCAACTATAATCTCTTCTCATCCTTTAGGGACTGTTTTGAGTCGTTGTAACTATTGTCTTGTCTTGCCAAATTTTGTGACTTGCATAATAGGAAAATCTATAAGTTGGTAAGTTCAAAAATAGCTACTTTATTCGTTGTCATTGCATTTGCATGGTTCTAGAAGTTTTTTTCCTTTTTTTTTTTTTTTTTTTTTTTTTTTTTCGGTAGCAAGTTCTAGAGTTCTTGATAGAACATATACATTAACAAATTTTGCTTCAAAGAAAATACTTTCTTTTGTAATTAGATATGGTATTTTTTGGGTTTTTATCACAAATGGTCTTTGAAATTGACTCACTTATCAAGATAGTTCCTGAAATTGAAAATCGATCAATAATGTAGTCCTTGAAAATGAGTGTCATAAATCAAGGTGATCCTTCCGTCAAAATTCTTTCCAAAATTCTGTTATTTGCTGATGTGACAATCTTAACCGAGTAGTTTTTTAAGCAATCAATAAGGGAGATCTTTTAGGTAGAAAAGGACCTTAACCAAGAAACTAATGGTTGGAACTAAATTCGCGCAGATCCACGAATGGAGGCGAAATCCAATTGAAATTGCCCATGATCCCTAGAGATGGGCGAATGGGGTTGACTGTGAGGTGAGGTTGAATCCAAATTAGACAGCCTAGATATCTCCGGGAAGGGGAATCAAACCATGGGTGTAGTTCTAAGAAATAATGGTGTGATGAGCAACACATCGTGTACCATCATTGGCGAATAACCTATGGAGGGGCGTTAAGCAGATGGGTTCTCCATAGACGTGTCTACACATAGACGGTGGTGTGTACAAGAAAAGATATAGTAGTCTAATAGACAAGATAAAGAGTCGTCCCTTGATGAATACCAAGGTTCTAAAAGTTACTAGGCGCTAGTCGGGCGATGGGTTGTGGCCTAGCACCTAGACGGCTAGGTACGAGCCTAGGCGGATTAGGCGGATTTGAATAAATTTTTATAAATTAAAAAAATTTACTTTATAATATATACATAACATTGAGTAATATGTGATTTTTGGAAAAGAATAATATTATATAAAGTGAGGAATTGAAGTATATATAACATGGTTTTGTTTTAAAAGGAAACAGTGATACCCAAACAGTATGTATAATATAATAGTGACAAGGTAAAAAATGTGAAGTTTTCAAAATGGGTAATGCTATTAAATTTGTAGACAAAGTTTTGAAAACTAAAAGACAAGTAAGTTGATGATTGGTTTATTACTTAAATGTTGATAAACGTGCTTATTCTTATTGGTGACACATCATTTAGTTTGCAAATTTAGTCTCCAAATTTAGTTTCCCTAGCATTACCCTTTCAAAATATTTAAAAAAATTCTTTCTTATTTAGAGTTTTCAAGTAAAACAATTTAAGTTATAAAGATAAAATAATAATTCAAAACATAGTATTTGTTGTAGGCATAATTTACTTGAACAATTATGGAGGCTAGAGAGAAAGGGGTGGGGCAATAGTAGAGAGAAAGAGAGAGATGTGTAATTGTGAGGTGTGTTTTATTCCATCCTATTATGCCTTTATTTATAGTAGTAGGGAAGGTTAATTCCTTACCCTAATAGGATTACAACTCTAATAGGATAATATCTAGTGTAAGAGATATGGTAGAATCCTATAAGGATATCCTAGATATGTTAGGATTTACACAGTCACAGTCCCAATCTAATAGGATTGCAACACTCCCCCTTGAGTGTGTAAATACTAAAAAAAATGGCGCATTAGGTCTTCAGTGATGAACTAAGTACAGTTGATGAAGTTGTTGGCACAATGAGCGAATGCGAGTCTCAAAGCAACGGAAGAATGCATAAAAGGTAAAACTCACAAAATCTCGCTATGGTAAAACCTAAGGTGGGAGGAAAACCCATATACTAAGGAGAAAAGTGAGAAGTTGCATTAAGTCAAAATTATATGTCTTATGGACACAAGTAGAAGAACTCACAATGGTATGATCAGCCCAGGATGGGTGCCTCGTTAAAACCTAGTTATGTAGCAAAAACCTAGTGGGAAAAATCGTCCTAATCTTAGGGAAAAAGAGTACATTAAGATCAAGTGAGTATACTTCTGGATACTCCCCCTGAGTTTGACAAAACTTCCAAATGAGAATTATAAGCATTGCATATGAATAGTTAAGCATACCAATTCCTCAGACAAGCTTCTGGAAGGTTGACTTCGGCAGTGACATTGTGTAGAGGTTGGCAAGGTTGTCTAGAATCGGCTTGCATGACTTCAATCTCCTAATGCTTTGCTGATATAGATATAGACACAATATGTCTTGGTGTTGACTTCGTTGATGTATCATGTCTTGGTTGGGTTGATGGATGCAGCATAATCTTCATGGATCATCGTCGGGACTTAACGATGGATGAAAACAGCAAATACTTCAAATATGGTCAACAAGAACTCCTAACGATGTCTCATGTGTGGTGTAGTGAAGTGAGGTCAGTCTTGGAACGATTCGAAGATTTCACAACTAAGGTCATATCGTGAGACCTCCAAGATATTGCGATACCCCTAACGGGAAAGACATAACCATTAAGGGATTTTGCCTTGTGTGGGTTTGATAAGTAACCAGTGTCAGCATAACAAACAAGGCAAGCATCATTCCGAGGATCAGGGGGGTCGGATCCGTTTGAGATGCGTTGAGATTTGCCCAAATTCGTAATACCTTCAGGGTACATCTTTAATACCAATTCAGTGGTTGCGTGTAAAAGCGGTGCTGCATCTTTACCAATAGATCAACAACAAAGGAGATTTTCTATCTAATACAATGAGCTAAGTATAACGAAGTGCAAAGTTGAACTTAGATATGGAATTTTGGATTCCATAACCTCTTCAAGGGTCTTATTTGTATATAACGTCAGAACAATACTTGAACATCAGGGTGTAGTTCGACCGGTAGACCAAAGTACCTTTAGAACAATGCTTGAACTTCAGGTCAAGGCATAAACAAGTTTTCCCAATACCCTTCATCTCAAATTCCGTCTTCAAGTGCGAGGCAATTTTGTCAAGCTCTTCTAGAGTTTTAGTGAGATTCATGTCAATGACATAAACTGTAACTCTAGTAATTTGGAATTAGACTTCACAGTTTAGCACGCAATGGCATTCATTCATATCCTTAACTGATCAAATAATCAATTGGGTATACCACATACGTTAAATTGTTTCAATCTGTAAATGAACGCCTTAAACAAGTTAAAAGGGTGTTCCATGGTTTGGAACTATTTGATCCAGTCCATGTAATTCTTTAAGAACTTACATGTAAATCTCCATATCTATATCGCCATGGAGAAAACACTAACCATGTCACATCTCGGCCTGGGCCCCCATCACATCCCGGGCTCGACTCCACCGTAACAGGATATTATCCGCTTTGGGCCCCGACCATGCCCTTACGGTTTTGTTTCTGGGAACTCACACGAGAACTTCCCGGTGAGTCACCCATCATAGGATTGCTCTCACGCGAACTCGTTTAACTTCGGAGTTCCGATGGAACTCGAAGCTAGCGAGCTCCTAAAAGGCCTCATGCTAGGTAGAGATGAGAATATACATATAAGGCTTATAGGATCCACTCCCCTAGGTGATATGAGAATATACATATAAGCATAAGACATTAATCTCCCCTTCAATTTCCCATCCTGCACCCAATAATTGTGCTCGAAACTCCTTCAAGGTAATCAATGACTCCCTAGCCAATATAACTGTGTGAATGACACCATACTCCTTAGGTAAACCAACATGACCAACAATCATTATATCATTATTATACACAAATTCACCTGCATGAGTTAGTTGCTCCTTAATACTTTTCAACTTCAAAAGAAACTCATCAATTGTATCAGTTCCTCTCTGAATTGTGTGCAACTCTATTTTTAGATGATTGACACTAGACTTAGAAACAGATGCATATCTATCAACAAGATTGGTCCATGCTTCATGAGCAGTTGTACAACAAAGAACATACTCCATTGCCTCATCAGTTAAGGTAGCAAGTAACGAAGTTAGTAATGCCATATATGTAGATTCCTAATCCATAAAAGCCACAGTAATATCCTTTGTAACCCTACCTTCCGCACTAACAACATACTTTGATGGACACACAGTTGTACCATCGAAATGACTAACAATTTGTACCCCTTTTAAAATAGATTAAAATTGAAATGCCTAATTGACGAAATTATCATCTCTTAGCTTTATGGTAAGCATACCCAAAAGTCCATCAACTTTAAAGTTTGAAGTACTCATGATTATCTTCAAAAAGAAACAGCTAATCACCAAATCGAATTATACCCATAAATTGTCACTCTGATTGTAAATAACCAAGGAAGAATGACACTTTCCTTAAC